GCTTTCTCTGTTCTTTTTTAGATAAAAAACAATCAGTAGATTGCTTTAAATAGTAGTTTCTCTCAAGTTGGAAAGCAAGCAGTAAGTGATGAACAGTCTGTAATTGCTGGAGCTTAAAGATGGTTTATTGTGGTAGTACATTTACATACCAGTCACAGTTAAAGGAAACACTAAATTTTCCCAAGATTAGCTGCCAGTTCAAGGTCAGCAGCAACATCAGGATCCAGAAGACACGCCTTTGAAAACAAAGAATAGGAAGTTCTAGTTTATAGCTAAAGTAAAATTTTATGTTGTCAATATCAATATAACAGTAAGGTCCTTATCTCAGATAATTACAACAAAATTTAACCAACTTGTTAAAATATTAAAGAGTTAATATGTTACTCAGCTTTAAATCCCTTTTTCTGAAAAGAAAAAAAAAATCAGTATTTAAAATAAGCATACTTGACTATAGTGTTAGGCTTGGGTTTATTTTTTTATTCTCTTTGTTGATACGGCATGTGCTGGCACCACAGTCAGAAACCTAAATCTGCTTACAGGCAGGATCAGTTTCCTTCACTTTGCATCACCTTTCCCAGTACCCCCTGGAAAGCCCATCTTCTCTTTCTCACCTCTTTCAGAACTGACAGGTTCTAAGAGTGATAGGCCAAAACTGCAGCTGGGCAGTTAAAAAAGCAAACATGATATTGTTTTTAAGTGAGTATAATTGTACAGTTAACACAAGTACTATTTTCCAGGTACAAAAGAAACTGAAGACACCCACAGCTCTTTTGTCTTTTACTTGTTCTGAAGTTACTGCTTCAGTTAGCTTCCTTGTTTATTTTCTGTTCCTTCTCTTCTGTTGTTGGGTGGAGATGCACGGCACTAATCAATAGAAATAATCTCCTTTTATACTAAGAAGCTAGTAACCTTCTTAGATCAGGCTTAGATGTACAAGTAGTGAATGATTAGTGAAAGTCCTTAACACTTACCTTGGACTGCTGGCTACAGCATTCATAACACCAGTTTATATTCCTTTCCCATTCTCCTCCTCAGCCTATCCTCTGTAACACTTTTCACAGCAGGATAATAAAATGTTTAAAACGTATGCATTCAGAGGATCACCTACTCTCTGCTAAGCCTTTTGTACCAGTGGCTTCTCTGAGTAAGGAGCCACAAAAATTGTTACTTGATAATTATCATTTACATAACTCTGCATTTATTTGGATGGCACCAAGCTGGACATGGAAGTATTCTACTTGCGGAAACAAATGGTCTCTACATGCACAGAATTCATACAATCTTTCTGAAGCACAGATCCAGTCTTGCTACACTCCCAGTTGGCATAATCATCTTGCCTTGAGTGTATCTTTAGATTCGCCTTCTAGAAGCCACTGTTGATCTTTTTCCTCAAGCAAGAAATCTTACCCCAACTTGAGAACTTTCAACCAACGTGCCCTATTTTTTCCCCATCTGTGTCAGTAACAGTAGATCCTCTGGCATCATTAAAATATAAACATAAAACCAAGCATGACAGCCAGGTATGACCAACTTAAATATCATTAAGGATGGTTCTAATTGGTAAAGAATCTAAAGTAGAGAAAAAGTTAGGGTTTTTCAGTTTGAGGGAATGATACAGATGACAAATCAGTTTGGTCTAAAATTATTCAAATGGTTTAGCTAATCTATCTTGCAAGTTACCAAGCTCTTTGCTGTGGTAGTTACCGCAGATGGTTTTTTGATGTTTGCCATAATGCAATGTTTGCTTAAGCAGGTGGGCAGATAGCATCCTTTCAGACTATTTTTAGTAGATTTTGATACAATTTTATCTAACCTAATGGTGGAGTCTTTAACCAGACAAGTTCAAAGACTGAAACCCAAGGTATCACTCAATTTCATGAGATACAAGTTAGTCTTTTCCACACTAATCTAAAGACTTAATAAAGATTTTCCCAGCTTACCCTAGAATAGTATTTTTCAGCACTGGCTTGATCTTGCTGTACACCTAGGCCAAGCTGGAGGCATCTACCCAAGTAGAAAGCAGCCATGGCAACCCCCTTGGCGACATACGCAGGAAGACAGTCAGTTTTCTTTGCTAGCGTATCAATGTCATCGTGGTCTGTAATTCTGTTGTGGAATTTACAGCGTTAGCTTAGATAATGCTACTTTAAGCAATAATTGAAGTAAACCATACATGACTTGACAATGCCTCCTTTCCATTTACATCATTACCCAAAATAAGCTGAAATGTACATGTATACAGCAGCCTGATGAGGATTCTTCTATTCAGTAGTCTTATTTGAATATTGTGATATTAAATCGAAAACAAATACGTAACTTCTGCAGTCACTTTCACTATAGTTATACTAGTTAGAAAAGGCAGCATACTTTAATTGTTCCTAATACAATATTTCATGGAAATTAATGTGTATGTGGAAGAAAAGCAGAGCTTTTCAATTCAGTTGAGCAACCTTATCTAGTTGGAAGGTGGTCCTGCCCACGGCAGTGGGGTTTTAACTAGATGATCTGTAAAGGGCCAACCCAAACCATTCCATGATTCTGTGATTGTAAAATTCCAAGTTCTTACTAGGATATTAGCAAATCATAGTAACCTGAAGATCTTGGACATACCCAACAGCCTCAGATTGTAAGACCCACTTCTGACAACCACTTACGACTGTTTCAGCTCAATTATTTTCTTTATTCTGCATGCATCTCTGCTTACTGTCACCTTATTTTCAGCATGTTGTTTTTACCAAGAACCATTTTAAGAATCAGAGGGACAAAGTGAACATTTTTTCACTGTCAGGCTGTGATCACCTGTTGTTGTTGCTACAATATGAGGTGCAACATTTTTGAAGTGGGAACTGATTTTTTTCTTAACTGTTGTCTTAAAGCAGAACCCTCCAAGCCCCGTATCCTTTCCAGATACAAACAGTAATTATATGCTTGACAGAAAACAGAAAAGTGCAAGTCATTTCATTTTTCAGCTACCCCTATAAATCAGTGCATGAAAGATTGTTCTCAACAAACCCTCTGTCAAGTCAGTGCCTGCTAAATTACTTGAATGTGTTCAGGGCATGTTCTCATTCAGGGAATGCTCTCCCACTTAATTTGGTCCCATTAACAAATGCAGCAACAAAATTGGAAAGAAGACAAAAAGAAAAAAAATCCCAAAGAGTTACTAGCAAAAGCATTCAACTGTATTAACAGCAACCTATTATGTCTTTCATCTTTCCTGATACATAGCATTTTTGCCTTCTTTTCCAAAAGATACACAACAGGATGCTGATGCAAATAACAATACACAGTCAAGTCAGGCAAAAAATTCTAGTTCAGCACGGTTGACTTCAAGAACGTACCATAGCAATGGGTAAGTAGAAGTGTATAGGTTAACAGAATTGTTATTTGAAGTGAAGTATTAGTAGCTAATCTAGCCTCACAATATTAGGAAAGGCTATACACTATCACACAATGTTTGGATGTTTGTACATAATGTAACAAACTGTGTAATTGGTATGAACATGAGAAACAAACTTTAGCAGAAAAGATACTGATAAAACTGGTTGAACTGATGAGATTTTTTCCTCAAGGCCAGCTGTAATCCCAGTTAAGTGGAACTGTTCCAAGTATGGTGGCAGTATCTTTTGGTTCAGAAATGGTCACTTCTGGCTGTAGTACCACATTTTACTGCTATTTTCTGCAATTACAGTTGCAGCTGAAGAAGTGCACTGTTCACTTGCCTGGATAACCTACTATGCAGCACTGTCTGAAAGGGATGCATTCCAAGAGAGACAAGCTAGACTAGACTGAATAGCTATCACTCTACTTACAGCACAAAAGAAGGAAAAAGCAGAGCTGCTGCTATGAATGGCATGTACAGGGTGCAGCTTCTGTAGGATCAATATTGGGACCCACAGTGTTTAACGTTTTCATAAGTGATCTGGAAGATGGGATCAAGCGTACCCAAATGAAGTTTGCTGGTGATACCAAACTGAGTGGGGAAGTGTACACTTTGGAAGAAAGTGGTGGATTCCCCAACACTGGACACTTCTAAAATTCAGCTGGACGGTGTGCTGGGACATCTTGTCTAGGTCATGCTTTGCCTAGAAAGGCTGGACCAGATTATTCTTGAGGTCTCTTCCAACTGGGATTCTATGATTGTAGGGGTTTAAAAGGGAGTGGTGAAGCCTAGAGATTGTGGACTGAGGAGACAGAGAAAGCAGGGGTTGCATGTGGGCTTCTACTTGGTCTACTTAGGATTCTAGTTCAAGGCTGTTTCACTTCACAGGATCAGAAAGAAAAGTGGTGAGAACCTTAGAGTATTAACTTGGTCCGTGAGCTGCTATTCCCTCTTTTAGATGAGGTTTTGCAGTTCATTATCTCAAATGTCTCCTGCGTTTGAGAGACAAGAGGATGAACTTATTAATCATTTTAATCCAAGCAATGTGGTCTTACATAAAGAATCATCATAAAAAATCAAAATTAATTTCACCTTTTGGCTATTGCAGCAGCTGTTGAGTAAAATTTTCTATTGTAATAATATTCCACAAGATGACCTTGAGCATAGATGTTTCCACGTTGTGCTGCTTCTCTCAAACACTCCAAAGCAGCTTTAGTGTTTTGACCTATACCTTGTCCATAGAGATACATAACACCGAGTGCTCCCTGTGATTCCACACTTCCATTGCCACATGCTTCTGAATGCCAGAAAAAGGCCTAAACAAGAGGTACAAAGTTGGAGTATATATTTACTTTAGCTGCTTTGTTCCATAGTGTTTCCATAAAAGCTTTTATATCAACCATCCTCTAAGAAAAACTTACACGTAAAAGAAAGCAGAATCCTTGTAAGGCTTTTAAACCTGCTTCATTTACTGTCAGTGACATCTGCATGATTTCTGAAGGTTACCAAAGCTGACAAAACTGAAATCCATTCTGTTGTTCTCCCTGGTAATCCCAGTAAAAGAAAAACCCAAGCCACCTTGGCTAGCAGTGTCAAGTGAGTCAAAATGAGGGATTCTGTTCATGTAGGCTCAGACCAATGATAATGCCTAGCAGTACTTAAAATACAGCTTTCAGAGTCAAGTATCTTACTTTATTCTTTCTGCAAAATTCAAAATTAATTGTGACTCATGAAATTCAAAAGGTACAAGTGGGCTTTACCTTTTTCAGGTCTTTTTGAGCTGACATAGAATAAAGCATTCCTAAAGTACTCTGGGCCTTTACGCTTGCTTTTGGATTTCCATGGTCTGCAGCAATAAGCCACAACCTAAGAAAATTGGGACAAAGAAAGTTAAGTTACACATCATCTTATATTCATCAGGAAAATTACTGACTGCCATTACCTTTCAGCCTCTTCAGTTGACTGCTTGACACCACATCCTTCATAATACGCTCTACCAAGATTGTATGCAGCTGCAAACTTCATGTGTCTTGCTTTTGGGGAATCAGAGTAGAGTATTTTCTTCATGTATTCCACTCCCCTCTCCTAAAATTGAGACATTTTGGTTACTACATTCAGCTTCTGAAGAGGATGAGATAAAGAACCTGACAACTCACTATGTTCTGCAAGACAGGTAAGTTTTCCACATGGAAGAAAGGCTGAGGCATATTGGTGGGACAGTCTGGACAACAGTGTCATAGCAAAGCAGAACTGATCTTTGGTTACTAGACAGCCTCTAGATCTTTGGCTCTGAGATATTATAAATGTGAAATATTTCATTATAAATGTTCATCTTCATTGATAAAAATATCCTGAAAAATACTCTTGTGCTTACATAAATGAATGTCACATCCTAAACTTGCTACTTTTTCATTGCATAATATATCTGAAATCATAAAACAACCTTAGCAGAAGGCAAAGCAATAACAGGAATAGCTTCTGAAGTCCCTCCATTAAAAATACCTTAAATTCATAATGGACAAAAAAATTACAATGTTAAATAAGCAAATGGAGAACAGACATTGCACATGAGTGCTGTATGGTGTATCATCCAGGGACCCCAAAGTATTTTGGAAATAAGATTTACACTGTTAGGATTTAGCATGGACACCCTGTTTTAAGGCACTGGAGACAGTCCTTTGCAAAAGATTCCTCTCTTACTCACCTCTCTCATTCTGAAATACACAAAAAAGAAATAAACTTTACTGAAATGTTTATTTGCAAGCAGATCAGTGTGGTAATTATGCAGGCATACAGCATACAGAACAAATGAACCACCTCTAAAAACCAGCAGAATCATTTCTGTTCTGCTGACAACCCTCCAAGCACAAGAATCTGGTTTGTTAGTATGCTGTTTGATTTTTTCCCCCCTCTCATCTTGCTACCTACCCTTTCTTTCACCCTATTTGTATTCTCTTTTCATACCACTCTTTTTAAGATCATGTTCTCCAATAAATTAACTCTCTTCTTACTGTAGCAATTCATTCATCTTCCTTTTTTGTAATGTGACTCTTCAACTTGAATTCTTCAAATTCTTAAAAATGTAATTCTTCATCTAATTTTAAAATGTTACTGCCAACCACTGGCAGAAGCACAATCTACTTTAGCATCCATGTTGAAAGACTAGAAAGTACCTTAAAAAAAATCTTTGTTCAAAACTATATATTTGATTTCCAATTTTTAAACATAGCTTCCACACAGAGCACAACCAAACCTTTAGAATTTATAATTTAAAATACAAATTATTGTATTTTTCAAATAAACGTATTTAGAGAACTACTTCAGGTCAGAACCCTCTATCTTTAATGATACTTTGTAAACACCTGTACATTTTGAAACTAATTGTAAATGAAAGACCTGCTTATTTTAAACTGAATAATCAGGCTTACAAAGGTCTTAGTAATTATCAGCTAATATTAAAAGGAAAGTAAAAAGCATACAGCTAGATTACTTACAGGGTCTTCTGTAGTGCCTAGTCCATCATAATGCATTACACCAAGCTGATACATTGCTTGAAAATCTACATCCTTGATTTTTTCAAATTGTATTAATGCTTCTTCATACAACCCCTGGGAAAGACAGAATAAGCAATGAAGTACACACAACAAAGAGTACATGTGGCTGCTTAACTCTGCTATATACTCTTTTGCCGTTTTTCAACCTGGAGCACTTCCCTTATGAACAAAGAAAAAGATTTGCATACAACCACCACAGAAGTGGCAGAAATCAGAAACAGTCAACAACCACAAGAAAGTTGGAAGGGTGGAAGCACTTAGGACTTTCAAACAAGTAGTGGTACGCATGTATCATCTCTGAAACCAAAAGACAGTCTGACCACCTTTCTCTTCCTCCCAAATGCCATCTTTTTAGTTCAAGGAGGTAAATATCTAATCCAGATGCCCTGCCCAGTCTGTCTGACATCCCTTAACTTAGGTGAGCTGTTCTTATACCTCAAGGGTTTATAAGAATCTGCTTTTACATCTCAAAAAAGGGTTGGTTTCACAAGGACTAAACTCAAAACTGGCATTTAGGTAGGGAACAAAGATCGAAAGCTGTGTCTTGGGTCAGGGACCAGAACCACATAAATGAAAACAGTATGTGGTGGTTGGCCAGTCAGCTGGCCAAAAACCAGCTTGGCTTGGAAGTTAGCTGTAGGGATAGGCTGCTGCTTACTTACCCGATCCCTGGGAGACACCATTAGATGCTTGGGGACAGTGCAGGAAAAACTTACATAGGGTGAACACCTGGTGCTTTTCATGGGGAAAAACAGGTATAGGTATCTCTTTTAGTTTAAAGTGACTCTTTTTCCACTGAAATGTTACTGAAAATTGTCAGCTTTATAATATGTACTTAATCACCTCTTCATAGCACAGTTGTCCTCTCAGAAAGCACGCCAGAGGATCTCCACTTGCCATTCTCTTCACCAACAGCTCTTCTGCTTTTGCAAATAAAGCAGCATGGTTGCAGTTCTCTGCTTAAAAATTGACAAACAACAGGGTTACGTACCCAAAACAGAACCGCATCGATAAGCACACTAAAGGTCTGAAGCTGGTGCAGTACCCTTCTGTTTGTATTTTTTAAAGGACTAAGATGAAAGGGCTATTTACTAAAAGGGATAAAGTTCAGTGAGGACAGCCTGACCCTTGCGAAGGTTCGGTTTGCATTGGAAGAGCTTAAAAGCAAATCTGAACTAGAGGGCACTTCACATCGCGAAATGCCTTTCAGCGTCTGCTCGGACGCAGCGGGCCCGCGGGACTCTCGCAGGCCCGGCCGAGGGAAGCGGGGG